TTTATGTATTTATAAAAAAAATTTATTAAAATATTTAAATAATTTTATAAAAAAAATTTCTGGGAATCATCATGGATGCCAAACTTGAGATTCTTTTCTTCCTCAGCCTCATCATCCGAGATCTCCTTCTTACTTGTATTCCCAACCCACAGAGAAATTCGGTAGCTAATGAACTTAGGGTAATTATTGATCAGGTCCTTGAGACGGTGCTCCTCAAGGTACTCAAGCTGGTCCTCCTTAAGGAAAAGTGTGATCTTGGTACCCTTGCCCAAGTTTTCACCAGAGGTGTCCCTAGTGACAGTGAATGACCCATCAGCTTGAGATTCCCATACATACTGCTCATCCACTACTAGAAAACTCAAAATCACCAACCCATAATCATCGACATGAGAAGTCTTCTCGGTAAACTATTCCCTTACCGACAAGACAAATGTCTGCAAATAAAGAAACAGTAAAAATAGGAGTAATTTATATTATTTAAGGTACAAACAAAATTTTTCTCGGTAAATTTGCACGATACACATGTGCCCTTCGTCGGTAATATGTTGCAAAGTACACTCCGGCCACAAGTAGACCAATAAACAAATTAGCGACAAAGATCACACCTGTAACTAATTCAATCTGCAACATGATTCATCTCGGTGAATTTACCGACAAAGACTTCATTGGTAAATTCACAGTCCCCAACCCTCCCTCGTGAATCTGGCTGCCGATGGCTGAGCTCGCAGCTTTTGGTACTCTTACCGACGAAACTTTGATCAGTAATTTCATATTGCCAGCCATACACTTCTCGGTGATCACGTTGGTCAACCTGCATGCTGCAGCTCCGCAGAGAAGATCAACTTTTAATGGTTGCAATGTGGTTTTCGTCGGTAGGAGTTACCTCTTACCACCCCAAACTCCCTTACCCTTTCAATTTGGTCTTCCTCTTCAGGCATCTTGCTTTCCTTTCCTCTGTTCTTCCCTTTGACTAGTTAGTTACAATGTGTTTGATCTTTGCTTTTCTTTAGTATTTTCTCCAACAAATTCCCAAAAGCTACACAAATAGGGAGAAAAACGGAGATCTTTGCTTTATAAACGCAGACGCGGAAATGTTGAAAGAAGACGAAGATGAGGTTTACATTACTCGACGGTGGCTCGGGGTTGGTGAAGTGAGATAGTGCTGGTACAATTCAGGTCCATATTCTTTACCCAATCCATTTACGCACTTTCTTGGGGCTTGGAAAATTTTTGTCAGTAAAATGGGCAGAATTCTTTCCAACATGAAGCTGGTTTGAGCGGGATTGGAAAATTTTTGCACATTTTGGATTCCCGCGTGCAAGCAACATTACGATGTGCATTTCGTCGGTAAAATAAACTCCAACAAGAGTCACATTGGTAAAATACTCTATATATTACCACAACATCTTATTCCGCTCAGTTCTTTTTTCTTTCTTTCTATCCTTCTTCTTTTTTCTTCTCCTCCCTTCTCTGTTCCTCCTCGTTTCTTCCATTATTTAAATGCTGCTAGATTAATTGTATTATGTTTATAATTACATTATATTCATTTAATTTTAAGTTTGTATCTTCTCAATTTCCTCTTTTTTTTCTCTTCCATTCTTTCTCTTTATTTGATTAAACACTAATTTGTGTTATTAATTAATTTAATTGCGATTCTAACTTTTTTTTAATTTTGTTTTCTAGGAAACATTGTTGGGAGAGACAATGGTATGGTTAAATCAATTTTATTTATGTAAACTACCATTTTATTTCATTTCTATTTTGATTATTATTATTTGGTTGAAATAATTATATATAAATAATAACTTAATTTATGTTTTTTTATTTTTTTAGGAAATGGTGTTTTGTAAATTAACTCTATTGAGGTAATTTTTAATTTTTTGGATTATGTAATTATATTTTAAGTTTGTAATATTATTCTTATTTTCTAAATTTTGTTTTAATCATTAATTTGAATAAATAAACACAATCATTTTTTTATGTACTGTAATATTTTAATATCATATTTATTTTTTATAAAATTAAAAATTATGAA